GGTACTGACATTCGTTCAAACGGTAGAATTAAAGTGCATCCACGCTTCTAAGTAAAGGCTTCCAGTCCAAATAGTCACAAAGAAAGGACTGACAGCAAGAAGTTAGGAGAACAAGCGCTTTGTACTTAGCCTTAATTTTCAAGAAGAGAAAGCGCCAATGGACGATGCCGCAAAATAAGACTGCCTGGAAGTCAGATGTCGTATAATTCGTACATGATTGCAGACAGAATTGGACTTCACTCAGTCCTACTACCATAACTTATCAAAACTATAATAAATTTCTCGAAGGAAATTGGTTATCACCAGCTTTGTAATGGTAATAGTGTGTAAACATCTGAGTGATTTACAAGATCGGAGAGCTGACTACAGATAGAGTTAGACGTCATGAACTCCTGTTGCCAATTAATCAAAACTACAAAAGAACTTGAGAACCAAACCAAACATCAGCTACACATTTTCATGACAAAAGAAACGACAGTTGACACAGCGAGATGCGCCAGTCTTATTGTCTGTTTATACCTCTAAAACTTTAAACTTCTTACACGCATATATATATATGTGTGTGTGTGTGTGTGTGTATATATATTCTACAGGGCGTGAAATTGCGCCTAATAGAGGCGCCAATGCGACTAAATTTTTTACTTTGGCGACCAAATCCTGAAAATTAGTCGCCAAATTGGCGGGTGAGTTAAAAAGATTTGCAAACATAAATCAGCGGCAAACTTCCTCGTTCAGTTTGTTTTCAAAACGCAGCACGTGCATCTCGATCGATGACTACACGCCATCTTGGATTTAGGTGAGCTTGAAGGTTGTATATCATCGATCCTAGCGTCCACTTTGTGGCACGTAGAAGATCTTTTTCCTAACATTATTTTTGAGGGTCTATCTAGAACGCTGACAGCAACAAAAATAGGTTTGTTTGTCTTTAAAAATTGCGACCAACTTTTTTCGAATTGGCTACCACTTTGAAAAATTTAGGAGCCAAGTGGCTATCAGAGGAAAAAATTAATCTCGCGCCCTGATTCATCTGACTTCTCTTTACTCACCTGAAAATGACCGAAGTTTGGTCGAAACGTCGTGTTTTACCTTCCCTTTTTTATTGTCAAAAGGTAAATTTTTCCTTTTTTCAAATTATTAAGTAACCGACTGAACTACAACTAAAATTCAAAAGATTGCAATTCAGGTCAGGTCCAAAACGAAATGGAACAATTTAGAGTTTCAATTTTTACTATTTAAAAATTTAGAGACGAAAACCAATACACATGTCGTTTGATAGTCTTAAATAATTAATAACGTTAATCTATATTCTCTTCAGATACATTTCATGAGTATTAATATTGTGGCCACAAGAAAAAGTTCAGTAATAACGAAAAAAAGGAGCTCACGTTTTTTAAGTCGCTTTGCTCAGTAGGGCTATGTACTATACCTTCTCTAACCCTTTATTAGCATAACCTACATTATTAGCCCTGAATCGCTGACATTCGGGTCTTGAGAACAAAGGAAATGATCACCAACTGAAAAATGTCTTGATGGCTCAACGAATCTGTTCAGCACTTGAGGAAATTTATAGAGAACAGTATGGAGAATAAGCATGCTAATGTTAGGGTGCACAGGTTAAACAGTTCTACGACACCCGTGTTGTACATTTACCCTGCTTGAATTGTTGCTAGCTAGAATTTACGGCCAGAAAATTGCGCTGCTTTGTGTTGAAAATTCAAAACAAAATCTTCTATTGATTAATACCAATATTTCAGGTAAACGGCCAAAATCCGCCGATGGCAAGTCTTTCAGTTGTCGATTTTCATTCTCAGCTGAGAGAAATGCCATTGAATACGTAGCTCTCGGTTTTTCTTTCCGTGTTTTGGTTTTCTTCTCCTTCTAGGAAAGTTTGAACGTCACTATCTATAAGCGATACTGATGTTTTAGTGTTTTAGCAGCCATAATCCGAAGAGTTTCCGACAAACGACCTTGGATTGAGAATGGTGAAGGCTTCGCCGTTCATTCATCAACCTGACCTACTGGCGCAAAAGGCGAGTGACGTGTAAGCAGTTGATTGGCAATATCAAACACACGCAAAGAAATGCAATATTTTCTCACGTGTGTTGTTACGGCTTTTTTCAGGGCTGAAAATCTTTGTTTAACACCGTAGTTTATATGATAAAACCAATTTATTTAGAAAACCTTGAGAGATCCCTAAATTATAAAAATTGAGGTAAGAATAACACATGTAAAACTTGTCGTTTCACAACACTGTGTAACTTTATCAACTTCCAAGGACTGAATCTGACCTACCACCCGTTGAACATTTTGATACATACCACGATAACGGGTTTTAATAAAAGGAAAAACAGTTGCATTTCAATGCAACCCAGATATATTCACTCAACCAACCATGCTAATTTTACATGTTTTAGTGTTAAAATGTCCGTGTCATATTCCTTAACGACCATTTTGCCTTTACACAACGTCTTAAACTTATTGTATCATAGCATTAAATAAAAAGCCAAATCTGTTTACACTGAAACGCACACAGCGTTAGATTTGGAGAATCAATAAAAACAATCGCTTGTGAAAGCTCCAGTTGTTCTATTTTTCCGTCTCAGTCTTTAAGCACTCAGTTTTAAAGTTTCAATTAAACTGCGTCTTCCACGAATGTCGATGTTCCATTACGGTACTGAGAATTGTTTGACAGTGAGACATGCCACTCAGTCCGAATGTTATTGACAACGATTAGCAGAAAGACCCCTTAAGACTGTAAATCTAGTGTGAACGATTGTTTCTGTTCCGCGACATGTTCCGCAATATGTGCAGGATAGCGTTTCGAATGTTTCTCATCTTCCAGCAGTAAAGTACAGGGTTCAGAGATGAATTAAGATTCACGAAAATCATTGAGAAGAGAAAAACTTTCTTGAAAGCGATACTCGGACCGTTGATTTTGATGGCAACCACAGAAATAAAATAAGGCAGATAGCAAATTAGAAACACGAGATACACATAGAATACACCAACGGTAGATTTAATGAGGCTTGCAAAATTTGTCATCTCACCAGATTGAGATCTTTCATTTACTTGCAAGGATTGAATCTGATTCTTGTGCTGTCGGACAATTAAATAAATCCTGATGTACATCACAGCATTTACAATAAAACAAAAAGCACCAGTAAATGAAATCATATTATTTAAAGTACTGACCGGAGCCCATAATACCATCGAAGAAACAAATGCACTAAACACCCATATGGAGATCACCACAGCGACAACACGCTTGTGAGTCACAAATTCATGGTATCTGAGATGAAGGTGAACAGCTAAGAACCTGTCTACACTTACAGCCACAACAGCTGAGAACGAAGCCATCGAGAACAAATAACCGCAAATAGAGAACAGTCGGTAAACGTAACAGCTGGGATCGTTCAGTTGTAGCCAGCTGACCAGAAATGCAGTGTAAATGGGTTGAGCCAACAAACCAACACCAAAATCAGAGAAAGCAAGAC